CTACCAGGATAGCCTGGCCTGTGAGGTCGCCTCACACCAGCTCAGACACTGTTCTCTCCACGCCTTCCAGTTTCTCCCTGCAAAACCCTCACTGCATCTGATCTCCTATTGCAACTCTAGAGGCTTGTAATACCGTTACTTGTCTCTCACCATGGTCGCCCGATAGTTCATGCATTCTGATGTCAGGGACTATGTCTGATCTGATCTTTTCATATAGTCTCTTCAGCTTAGTAAGAATTCTAGAATTATGGCTGGTAAGTTGAATGAATGGACTAAATATGAAGAGAAACTTATTGGAACAAGTCTGCTACCTCAGCAGTCTCCACTTACTGTGTCCTTGCAACCAGAGCGTTAGAGAGAAATCAATCAGTCCCATTAAAGTTACAGATGCTCTCTTCTATCTTTTCAGCCATCAGCTTCTGCCACCTCTTTGCCATGTTTGGAGACCACCTTCTTGTCATCAGTTCTCACTCCTCTGGCTAGTCTTATCTCTTGCCTGTTTCCTCTTTCATATTAACCATATTCCTCTAAATTAATGGGTGTGTTTGGATTTTTTTCTCTTCGTACTTTTCCCTTTATCTTCAAGAATCTCATTTACTCAGATTTTGTATTCTTTGGGATTGTGGCTCAGAGGGAAGAAATTAGGGACTAGAACTAGATTCCTCTACCATTTAACCAATGAAAAAACCACACACACACATGTACACACAAGCCACATGGCCATTATAGTATCAGCTCTGTTAATGGACCAATGGAGAACATAGCTCAGGCTCACAGTTCAAGTAGTCCTCTTCTGAAATTCAGACCCTGTAGGTGAGTTGTGACTGGCGAAGGGGCCACTCTTATACCCAGAACTATCAGGTGGGCAGACAGTATGGTAGGGTATTAAAATATGAGGTATGGAAGAGGCAGTGAGTCTACTTAGACCCTAGAAAGCTCCAAGGTAGCATGAGTAAGGAAAAGAAGGGCTCAACTCTAAGCTAGGCTTCATGGGAACTGAGGAAAAGATGAATCTCAAGGCCTTGTGGAAAGGTAGCCCAAGTTATGGCAGGTTGCCATAGAGACAGGAACTGGGAGAACACTAAATCAAATGCAGCTCTTCAAGTGTCTTGTTGCACTTGACAGCAGGGTTGTGATTCTTTTCTCTGATGCTGTGTCACCAGCTCAATCCACAGCCCTGTCTTTACTCTTCTCTCTGCTATGTCTCTATCAACTCCCAATGCTTTGTACTTCCCAGTACAGATCTCTTAATGGTAGACCCAGTCTGCCTCAGAGATGGAGGAGCAGTGTGTGGATTGCCTTCCATGGCTGGGAAGCCTCCCATAGTCCAGTGGATCATTGCTGTTCTTACAGTTGTATCCTTAAGCCTGATGTGCAGTAATTGCTCAATAAATATATTACATTAATGAACAGTGAAATCTCCCTATTTTTTCTCTGTCATGAGAATATGTTAGCTTTACGTGTATTTTTACTTCACCTGTTATCTTGAAAACTACTTGGAATCACTTTTTTATTCATTCTTACATCTCTGGGACTCACAGATGGTAGATAGCAAAAGATATATGTAAAGTATGTACCATGACAGGAAGCACCCCAAAATGTGTTGTTCACTGTATGCTTGATACTTTGAAAACCTCTGCAATGGCTAGGAAGACTGAGCCCATTCTTTTCACTCCTTATTTTCTGCTTCAGAAACCAGATACAGGAAACATCTGACCATAATAAAAGATTCCAGTAAATTCTAGATTTCCTCATTGAACAGTCATGTGCAGCAAGGTTCCGTTGTACTTCAGTCTGGGATTCTATTTGGTCACTTGTGCAACACACCACATGGCTGCCTCTGGCTTGGGAGCCAGAACAGCTGGAGATTGGGATGCTTGAAATAAAAATGACATATTTGTTAGGTGGAAATGGAGAAGTTTGCATGTTCTTACTCTGTGTCTTACAAAGCAAACTTTTCAACTTGTTCAATACTAAGTTTTCCCATTAGTTGTCAGAGTGGTTTATGATTAAAATCATCTTAAATCCTTTAGAATAAGCACAATTAATGAATAGCCAAACTGTTTCTGAAGTCTGTGCCTCTAATGCTCTGAGCAAAATTCATCTGAACTTTCACAAAACATTATGTAACTAACTTCCTCTAGAAATTTGTTCCATCCTGTTTGCATTGCCTGTTTAAAGATCTGTGCTTTTAGAAGTATTGGAAAGAATATTTGCAAAGCCTTTGATGCTTTCTTTCCAGTAAGAGTGTCACCTATCTGGTGCTTACCTCCTGAACGCTCTTACCACAATTTATCTTAAGTGCCTACTAACTTGTCTGTCTTCCTGGCTCGTCTGTCTCTTATTGAGCTCCATATCCCTGCATCTGGCACAGAACCTGGCATATGATAATATCTGTGGGAAGGAAGAAAGAAGAGGGGAAAGACCAGTCTGCTGAGGAATTGATACAGTTGGTATGAAATATAAAAATGATCTCAGTATTGAACAGAAAAGCTGAGCAGCCTTTCAGCACTTACAGTGAGTAATGAAGGAGAGCAAGAACCTTCCATCCTCTGGCATCAGTAGATAGTGGGTTAGATCCTGAAATCTTACAGCTGCATCAGAAAGTTCTTTTTTAACTTTCACTTTTTTCCACTCCTGCCTCAGCTTTCTGAGTAGCTGGGACTACAAAGCATGCAGCACCATATCTGACTTTAACTTTTTTTTCCATGATACAAATAATAACACATTTACTATAAAATTGTTTTTTGGTGAGGTCAAGCAAGGACTTTGTGTATGCTGGGCCAGGATGAGTGGTCCAGTATACTTTTTGGAGAAATCCGTACAAAGGGTGGAGAGAAATGGGTCAAGTTGGAGGTAGAGGGTTGTGGTTAGGAGCTTTCAGAGCAATCCTAGCAAAAGAGGACAGGCAGATGTCCAGAAAAGCAAATTGTAAGCAGTGGTGGCCTGTGGCTGGCAGTGGCAGCCCGACTGACTGTGACTAGGCATGAAGGATCTTCTGGGGGTGATAGCAATAGGAACTTTTCTAAAAATCTCAATGAATTGTAAACTTAAACTGAGTGAATTCTGAGGGATGTAAATTATACTTTAATAAATCTGTTTACAAAGGAAAGGCAGACTTTCCATTGAGAGGACAGATGTGAGAAGTAAAAGTAAAATTTAGGAGTTAGACATTGCTTGTATGAGATAGGATAGTCACCTGTGTGTTCAGCCAAGAGTCCTAGTTGTGCTTCTTTAAGCACAACTAGTTGTGTTAAAAAGCTAACATCCCTATCTTTTTCTTGATAAGATTTCAATGCGCATAGATCTGCCCTTAACTGGCTATACAAAATACCTGTCTCTGGATTCTTCTCAGAAGCCACATACTGTAGCTCACTGCCACTGAGTCTTCAGTAAACCCAGGGTTGTGAGAAATTATGCCTGAAGGATTTATGGTCCCTTTATTTCTTTAGGCATTATAATTCAGTAAATAGTTATCATCAGATGTTATGCAGGTAACATAACAGTGAATGAAGCAGATATTATGTCTGCGCTTATGGAGTTTATAGCCTTGCAGTGGGAACAGATGTTATTTACAGTTATGATAACTATTGTGTTAAATTTCTGTGTGCATTGAGAGAAAATGACTTACACACTGAAACCCGAAAGACAATGCGGAGGTGAGGTGTGACTATAAACAAGGGTCTTACATGCATCCAGCTGGCACTACTTTGTAGTGAGTGAGCCTTTTGAATCTGATCCTTTTTAACTCATCTTGGGCCATCCATCATCTTGTTGCCACTTATAATTGGAGCTAATACACTGAATGTTGGCCTTATTTCATCCTTTTGGGTTGGCTCATAAGAAATAACCATACAAGATTCACAACTATTGAAGATATATAGAAGGTAGCAACTTGAGCATTACACAGGATCCCTTTTCTTAAAACCTACAAAGAAAGTTTTCTTGACCATTGTATAGTATTTGCTTTTTGTTTTGGTCCTTGAGTGACTCTGGAGCCCCTGGTTCCCTCTTGCTTCAGGTCTCTGTTGGTGGCCTCTTGTTCCAGCAAGCAAATCCTTGTTGGGTTTGACTTATCCTTCAGCTGTTAGTCCAAATGTCATCTTCTTCAGGAAAGCCTTCCTGTCCAGCCCCACTCCCCTTCCATACTCAGTACAGTTCCCAGTACAAATTTTCATGGCACTCTATTTAAATTTTAGTTCATTTTTTAATTTCTGGTTAATTTCTTTGGTAACTTCTCTCTCCTAAACTTATGGCAGGGAGATCCATGAGGGTAGAGATCATGGTTTTATGTTTATCTCTGTATCTAAAAGTCATAGTATCTTTCACATAGTAGATGCCTGATCAATATTTCTTGAACGTTTGAATGAAAGCAAGAATAATGCATTGTGGACACTGAATCTTTATACTGCTCATTTTCTTCCTTTTTGCTTTGGCTGCTTGGGAGCTCATGCACTCCTTGATTCTGCCTGCTGTCTTTGTAAGGTTCTAATGGCATGCATTTTTTGCACTAACATTTCCCCCACTGTATAATATTCTTTCTTTGACTTTTTAAACTTTTTATTCTGGCATATACCATAAATTTCTGTAGGCCATTTTCAGTCTGTTTTGAAGGAAGCAGTAATAAACATTTGGGTATGTGAGTAGAAGAAAGGCAGGTGTGAAAGGGGAAATGTTAGTGCCTTTAACCAGATGCAGGAGGGAAGTTTTATTTTGCTTTGTTTTAATTTTATTTTTAGTTGAAGTGGTAAAAAGAAATAAATTTGTTAGCAGAAACTGCACTGAAGAATTTGGGGGCTCTCCCTGACTTGAGTCATTAAGGGGTTCCAGGCTCAGCAGGGCCTCCTGGCCCATTGAATGGGTAGCACAGACCTATGGAGACTTCTGTACTAAGCTCCATCTTGGCCAATTCTTCCCTGGGCATGGTTTGGGCAGAGCCAGTGGGAGCTTGACATGTTACTATAAGGAGAAAGAAATGAACTTGTCCTCTTGTGTTGCAGATTCAGTGGTTCTTTCCTTTGACTCCGCTGGACAAACCCTAGGCTCAGGTACCAATTCTTCCCCCTCTATCATCTTTTCAGCTCTCAATACTGACCATAATTATATTGGAGCCTTCAAGGAAGGGTACTGGGGGAGGGCAAGGGATGATCTCAGAATTGTGGGAGAGTCTCAGGGAGCCCTTCTTGGATACTCAGTGGAGGGAACAGAAGAAGGACACATCATCTAGGGCACTTTTCTGGTTGCTCTAAGAATGTGTGCTGAGAAGTCACAGCAAATGTGCCTTCCTCATGTACAGCAGTCCAGGTTCATATGAAAGGGTACCATTTTCTGTGCTCGTGTTCTGAGAGAGTGGGACAGAGCGCATTGAGAACACAGCTCTAGGCATGATAACCATCAGAGCCCTCCTGCAGAGTGCCAGGCTGTGAGAGCACCCTCATTTCCTGAGGACATACACTCCCTTGTGTGTTTATATGCACATCCCACATGCTCAGGTACAGATATCCTCCAGGAGAGAAGTACCACACTTTACCGTGCATTCCTGTCAAGGGCACATAAGAAGTATATTCCCTCCCTTCCCTGTGTTTACAGTGCTGGAAAAAGTGCCACACTGCCCTTTGGCCCAGATATATCCAGGCCAGGAGAGCCATGCTGTCCTGAGTCCAGAGCAGTCCCCCTGCCACACGCCTTTGTTCTTGCTGGCAGTGAACAGGAAGGGATGCTGCTTTGATTCCTCAGCTTGCTGACATTACAGTAGCCCCAAAATGACTTGGCATTTCTGTATATCAGTCCTATATTTAGAGGTAAAGATGATAGGCTCCTACTGGGTGTGCTACGTATGAAAACAAGGAAACTGCTGGCCCATGGAAGCAGTTTTCTTTTTCCATCCTCGAATGTGATAGATGGATGTTCATGAGGTTCAGGTAGTTGCAGTAGACTGGACAAAAAGAAACGTTCAGAGAATATGAACATTGTTCTGGGAACTTTATGTACCTCTGCCTTGTCCCTCATAATTCAAAGCTTTGATATGTTTCATTTTGATACAAGAGACTTAGGTTCAATGACATGAAGTAACCCATTCAAGACCATTCATCTCCCCTGATGATCTTGCTTTCTTAAGGTACTCCCACCAAATGCTGAGGCAGAAGTCACTTCAAGATTGGGCAAATAGACGGGAAGAGTTCTTAAATAAAACAAAGTTACATATATTCACTATGGGAAGAGATTGATCAGTTTTATGGCATGAAAGTTAAGAATTTATGAATCAAGACCCTGTTAAGAGTGAAAAGGCAATGCGGAGTGAAAAAGGATATTTATAACATAATTAATCACCAAAAAAGGCTTGTTTCTAGAGCAAAGAACTACAAAAATCAATGGGAAAAAGAAACAACACAGCACAGAAATGAGCAAAAGACTTGAATAGGCATTTCATAAAAAAAAAAAAAAAAGAATAAGCATTTCATAAAAGAGGAAATCCTAATAGCCAGTAAGCCTATGATAAGGTACTCACTTGCGTTAGTACTCAGGAAAATACAAATTAGGTTACAGGGACATGTCACTGCACATTTACCAAACAGCATACCTTGAAAAGCTGACAGTCCCAGTATTAGTGAGGGTATATTGGAGTAGAAACTCTCAGTCTCCACTGGTCTAGCCCCTTTGGAACATACCCCATGACCTAGCAGTTTTTCCTCCAGCTATTTTTCCCACAGAAATGGATACTTATCTATACCAGAATATATTTGCAAACTACATGTAGAAGAACGTTCACAAGAGCGTTGTTCATCATCGTCCCAAAACACGAGCAGTCCCTGTACCTAACAACAATAAAGTGAATATAAGTATATAAACTGTTATATTCCAAGTGGAACAATAAAAATGAATAAACTATACTTTGATGCAACAACATAGATTAATCTTAAATATATTTTTGGGTGAAAGAACTCAATAGATACTGTTTTTCTGTTCAAATGAAGTTCAAGAACAAATACAATTTAACCATATTTGTTTAGGTGCACAGTTCAGTGTTAAAACAACAGAGATGTTGGTCAGGGGGATGTGGTGAGGGATGGGCACATGGTATCTTCTAGTGTTGGTGTGTTCTTTCTAGTGACCTGAGTGGGATTTGAGAGGACCCTCTTCACGGTAACTCATTACATTGTACATTTAAAGTTTTATGTGCTGTTGTATGTATTTGTAATGGTTCATATTTTTTATATAGAAGGCATAACTTGAGTTGTCAGCTATGGGATAGGATGTTCTTGGGCACTAAAGGGTCAGTAAGAGCACTCTAGGTTGCATTTGCCTGAAAAGAGAGGGAGGAGATAGCTAGCATCTGTGAAACATTTATTATATACCAGAGTTTTAAACACTTTCATGTGTATGAACTCATTTAAGTCTCCCAGTAACCCTTTGATACAGATATTGTTTTCATCTCTATTTTTTCAGCTAAAGAAACTGATATATAGACAAGTGAAATAACAAGTAGCAAGCAAATGGCAGAGCCAGAATTTAAGTTGAGGCACTCTGGCTCCAGAGCGCCTGTTTTTATCTAAACAGGTCTCGCTTTCTCTGTTCTCATTAATTTTCAAGGAGCTTTTGGTCCTCAGCTTCTGTTCCTCTTAGAGTTATAAAAAAGATCTTAGGCTTAATGTGAAAATTATTGTGGACAATGGGATGTGGTTCCCAGGCCTATGCATGGTTCCCAGAGGAAGTTGGCAAGGAATGAGGACTCAGATATTTGTTGGCTTAATTCTCTCTTAGTAGAGGATAGATTCAAATTGATTCAAAATCAACTTTAAATCAGCATTGTGTTATCCTGACTATACCTCCTAGATTCCATATGTAAGCTGCCTTATTCATATTCTCATGGAATATTTGTCAATACTTTTTCTATCTCATGCTTTACCTCAGCTTTAAAAATTGGTAGGAGGGGCTCAGTGGCACTGCATCTGCCTGGCAAGCACAAGGTCCTGAATTGATCCCCAGTACAGGTGAGGCTGGGCAGGGGTGGGCAGAGATCTTCACAGTGGCCATGTTACTAGTTACTGGGGATTGAACACAGGGCCTTCCCGTTGAAATACATCCTCACTGTGAATCTTTTTAAAATTTTGAGACAGGGTTTTGGTAAGTTGTACAAATTAGGTTTGAATTTGTGATCCTCCTATGTCAGCTTGCCAGAGTGTAGGAAGCAAAGGTGTGTGCCACCATGCCAGGCACTCTTTACTCTTTCATTTGGAGATTATTTGCATAACATTGGGCATACTGTATTGCCAAAAACATTTTAGAATTTTAGTAAGATAATTTGAGTTATTCCCTACTTTCTTTCTCTTTTTTGTGGTTGATTAAAATTGGGAAGAAAGATTCCAGTTCCAGAGAAGATGCAGTGAGTATACTCACCTCACTGAAAGCAGGTAAAGGCCTGGACAGAATGTACTTAGTAGCTTTGAGGTCTCCAAAACTTAAATAGTAACAGACAGACTGGGGAAAACACCGGAATTCAATGCATTACTAACCTTGTAGTGTATTTCCCACTTTTCCTCTGATGTCCCATGTTGTGAACTCAAGGCAGTGCAAAACCCAGTGGTGGCTACTTGAGCACAAACAGACAGCTTCAGGAAAAGACCTCTGGTTAGGGGCTCCTAAGGCTCAGACTCACGTAAGAAGTCCCACAAGTTATTTTTTCCCTTTCTGTGCTCTCTCCTGCTCCTGCCCTAAAGGAGTCTCAGGTGGTGATGGTTGTAGTGAGCTGGCAGCGGTAGGGCTTTGGCACCTAAAACTGAGGGAGAAGGGAGATCAGAGGTGCTGTAGTTCCAAGAGTGGGTGGGTGCAGTTTTGGCTGTCTTTTTCCTTTCTGCTGCTGGGCCCCAGATTTGGGTACAGTACAGAAAATTTATGGTAGAATGTGGTAGCTAAAGCCCCACCTATCTGGCCAGAAGACCAAAAAAGGAAGACCCAAGGAATCAGAAAGCACAGGTGAGAAAACAGAGAGGGAGGGACACTTAGGAAAGCAAACCCAGACTTTCAGAATTGAACTATGGGATAAATCACTGCTCAAGTCCCAGACAGGACACTGGGTGGCGCACATAGAGGATGCATCTGAGTAGGCTTTGAAAGAGGAGCTGACATTGAAACCACAACCCTCAGAAGGCTGGTCAGAACTTGCTGCCTGAACCCACCCTGCTCAGTTGTCTGCTAAAACAAAAGTAACATTCTACACTGGATTTAAACAAGACCTAGGGTTTCATAACATGATATCCAAAATATCCAGGATATGAGCCAAAATTAAACATCTTATAAAGAACCAGAAAAATCTACTTGACTGAGAAAAGACAGCCAACAGATGCCAATACTGAGATGATACAGATGTTGGAACAATCTTACAGAGACTTTAATAAAATACTCCCCGAAGGGCAAATACTATTGAAATTAATGGAAAGATAGAAAATCTTAGCAAAAACCCAACACCTGAACTTTTAAAATATAGCAAATAGCGCAGTGGGAATGACAGAGGAGTAGTGTACTTGTGTTATATTTTGGATCTAAATGTCTCCCAAAAGGTACAAGAGCCCAATGATGAAGGTAACTGTACTGTATACCTAAAATGTACCAATAACCTCAATGAGAAAAAAAAAAATGTCTCCCAAAGGCCATGTGCTAAAGGTTTGTTTGTCTGCTGATGAGCAATTTTAGGGAGGAATTTGATCTTGGGTCTGATACCACCAATGGATTAAGCCATTGATGGATTCCTAATTTGATGGCATTACTGGAAGGCAATGGAAATTTAGGAGACAGGGTCAAGTTGAAGGGTGTGGATCGTGGACGCATGCCCCTTGGCGATGGCATCTTCCTCAGCTGTCTCCCTCACTTTACCTCCCTTCTCCCTCCCCTTCCGCTTTCCCTCTTTCTCTGTCTCTACTTCTGCTGCTCTCTTTCCTGGATGCCATAGTGAGCAGCTTCCCTACACCATACCCTTCCACCATGATATTTCTACCTTACAAGAGGTTTAAAAGTAATGGAGCCTGCTAACCAGGGACTGAAACCTCTGAAA